GATTACTGATCAATGAGAGGAAATTACTGATAGGGTAACTTGATCATGTCTTGTAATCATTCAAGTCTCTTGTGGTGCCTGTCTGATTGAAAACATAACCTCAGCATTGACAGCTATAGGCATCCTACATACATGACATAAAAGTAAAATAAATGGAAACCTTTTCGACAAGTCATCTTCACCATTGTTTCCTAGCAGTTGTATATTAAGGTGGAATAAATATGTGAACAGCTACTGGCCTGACAGTTGCAGACACGAGTTATTTCACATAATGTACAAAAACTTGAATCCAACAGGGTCCATATAACAACTTCCTGGCTTCTACAAAAAACAGGTCAGTGTAGAAAATAATATGGAGCATGCTAGCCTGATTATTGGTAACATTTAAGAACCCTGGCAGAGAGAATGAAATTCTGTTGATGTCAGGATATTGCTAACAAACACCAACTCACTTTTTGAGAAATTACTTTTTGGCATCAAGTAAACAACATGGGCCAAAGAACTTTCTATTTGGCACTACTACCGATACACAGAACACACATATCAGGGTATTAGGTTTCACTGAAACTGGCAAATGACTGAGAAAATACTGCATTGTTGACAGTTTTCATACAGGCACGTTGTACTACAGGTAAGAAGTAGTATATATCATCTATATGTATATACTAAGGTACAGTTTGGAAAGTCTTCCTATAAACAATCATGTAGGCTGTAGTATGTATGTACATAGTAAGTTAAAACCTATTGATGGGGGTTGAAGGGGAGTGGCGGCATATTAAATATAAACTACGGAGGTATTCCAACTGTACCTGTAATCTGTTATAAGTTGTTCACACAATATTTACCAATATTCAGTATCACAAATAATTAATTCAACACGTTCCTGAATTATCATTTTACTTCCAAGTCCCTTTATAATAAAACAAATAACAAAACATATTAAAAAAATCACTATGTCCAAAGTTACGGCCTACCACCCTATAAGTAAAACGACAGTAAATAGTACTTTTGAGATTTCAAACGGAAGAAAAAATCAAAGAAAATGTAACCAATGGTCTATTCCATGATCATAAATAAACTGCCATACGATTGCCTTTCATGATAACCTATCTTGAATACCTTACAAAACACTAAATGTCACCACCAGCTGACTTACCCAGTCGGTCCACCATTTTGAATGTTTTCTGAGTCACAAGGTACGCGATGTCCTACAAGAAAATTAGGAGGTGACCACTGTGAATGATAGAGTAGCTTCCCTTGAACCACGGACTTGTAATGGGTTTCTCACGGTTCACAAGGGTGCGACTTTTGAGTATGTATCAGATATGTACTCTAGTTGTCTTGTGTGTGTACAGATCATAAAGGTTTCTATTTTCCCAATGGAAAAGACATTTTATTATGTACAGACTCACAATGATTTGGTTGACAGTGGTTGTGAATTTAAGTAATGCCCCACTAATGGCCAGCAATACCATATTGCTGCATGTAAAGTATTGGAAGTGTATATGCGTCTTTGGTCGGAACTTTCTCTGCAGTTCTTAAAATATTGTTATAACTTTGTTGACTTTAAGAAAGCTTTTGACTCTGTGGATCGTTGTAAATTATGGCACTGCTTACGAAAGTCTGGTTTACAAGGGAAAATGTATTCTATTTTAAAATCTATGTACTTGAATATTAAATCATGTGTTCGTTGTGGTGATGATGTCACCGATTTTTTCGACTGTCCCATGGGAGTTCGGCAAGGGTGTATTTTAAGCCCTGTATTGTTTTCCTTCTTTATAAGTGAACTGTATTATGATATTTCTAATTCAGGTAAACATGGTGTGCAAATGTTTCCAGATATGATTGAAATTTTTATCCTCCTTTTTTTGCCGATGATGTAATTTTAGTGTCAGATACTATCGTCGATCTACAAAACCAACTTAATATTTTGGAACGTTATACAAATGAATGGAAATTATTTGTTAATTTTTAAAAAACAAACATAGTTATCTTTAGAAGAGGTGGGCCTGTCGCCTCTAAAGGAAAATGTTTTTTGAGTGGCAAAAATGTATCTATTGTTAATCAGTATACCTATCTCGGACTATTGTTTTCCCATACCATGAACTTTAAAAAGATTGTTATAGACCTGAAATCACGTGCTAAGAAGGCTCTTATTAATGTTATGTCAGTTTCCCAGAATTTGGGAATTTTAACCCCGATAATATATTTTAAATTGTTTGATGCACAAATCCAACCGATTATGCTTTATGGGTCTGAAATTTGGGGATTTCAACGTCATGAATGTCTAGAAAAACTACACCTTTTAGCATGTAAAAGATTTTTAAATGTAGCGCGAGCAGCACCAACCTATATGGTTTATGGAGAATGCGGTAGATATCCGATATATATAAAGTCACAAATCAGATGTTTAAAATATTGGTTAAAGATCCTTGGAATGCACGAACAAAGAATCCCCAAACTAGCTTATAACATGCTTGTACATTTAGATGATAGGGGTAAGACAACATTGGCGTCTCATATTAGAACTCTTTTTTTTTCTCATGGCTTTGGATTTGTGTGGCTAAATCAAACAGTTGGTAATATTAATCTATTTCTTAAGCAATTTCGAGAACAACCTGTTAGCATGTATTATCAAGAATGGCATTCCTGTCTAGACAATAGTTCAATATACCAGTTGTATAGATCACATAAGAGCTTAATTCAACCAGAACTATATCTATCTGTACTAACATCTTGAAATATCAGACGCACACTTGTCAATTTTCGATTGGGCTTGTTAGATTTAACAGTAAATAAGGGCAGACGATTTTCAATAGAGAGACGTTTAAGGATATGTCCATTATGTAACTCGGCTATAGCAGATAAAATTCACCTCGATTTTGTATGCCCACATTATGCTGATTTAAGAAAAAAATATATCCCAAATAATTACCTGTTAAAATATCCTTCATCTGCCTTTGCTTCCATTCTATCTTCCAAAAATGAAAATGTAATACGTAATCTTGCGCTTTATGTAAAACATGCTGTTTTCCTTAGAAGCAATATCTTATCTGAACTGTAATTACTTTGTGAAATGTCTGTAACATGTGCTGTATATATACTTGTATTACTTGTATATGGGCCGGAGGCCTTAAGTACAATAAATATCTTTGACTTGTATGTGAACATTCCAACTTAGCTATTCTCTAAACAGGATCGAACAAATACGTTTAGATACGGCAGCTCAAGCAGTGCAAGGATACAGCATGGCCTAAAGTCTGTGTTTCTTTGGGTTTTTTATAATTCACCTTATTCTCTATAAACCACATATGGTGATACAAGAGTTTACATAATTATGCACATAACGCTATGTGGTGCGCTGGTTGACACTGTTATTCAAGGCAGACATATTTCTGTGGTGCGCTGGTTGACCCCGTGGAATTTGGTTTATTCAAGACAAGCTCTGATTTCTGTCTTTCCCTGTTCGCGATTTGTGGCATTACCTTTATCATTTATGTAAATTAAACATATTTTATGGACACAGCTATAATTTGTTGATATATTTCCAAAAAGTAACAAATGCACAACCTTAAATTAATATTATTAAACGTGTGGTAACCTTGAACAAAAGTCGCAAAACATCCAAACCCAGTACAAAGACAACGTATTTAAAAAATAAATATTGATTGGTTAGTTGGTTGGTTGTTTTAACGCCGGACTCAGCAATATCCCAGCTATATGGGGATAGTCTGTAAATAATCGAGTCTGGACCAGACAATCCAATGGTCAATAGCATGAGCATTGATCTACGCAAATAGGATGTGTCAACCAAGTCACCGAGCCTGACCACCCGATCCCGTCAGTCGACTCTTACGACAAGCATGGGTTACTGAAAACCAATTCTAACCTGGATCTTCATGGGTTTAAAAGAGTAATCACGTAACTCCTATTATAGCGAGTTATTCATGATGATTGAATTAAACCACGATTTCCGTAATAGGGGTAATAATTTTCTCAAAGGCATGGGGCGGTGGGGGTAGTTTAATGGTTAAAGCATTCATTCATCACGCTGAAGACCCGGGTTTGATTCCCCGCATAGGTACAATGTGTGAAGCCCATTCCTGGCCCCCAACCGTGATATTTCTGGAATATTGCTAAAAGCGGCATAAAACCAAAATCACCCTCAAAGGCAAATAGTATCGATCGACAGTCTGCAGTTAATTTGCGTATCCTTGAAAAGAAACATTTTTAAAACAATCTTAGAATTATCTATTTATTTCTGTGTGTAATATTTCAATGCTAATTACGCTTCGGTATATGAAATTACAGTGTCGCGTTCACCAACTCGATTGCAGTTATATATCGTTTAAGTGGTCAACAGAGACGTTTAACGGTGCGTTAGCCGGGTACCGTACGTCAGGGAAAGTTTCAAATAGCATTACAAATATACGTGTTAAACTGTTAATAAGTTTCTTTAGTGGTAGTGTGACAACCAAAATCGTAATAAACAACAGTAATTCCGTAATTTTGTACATTTGGAAAATCAATCAAAACTCAACCACATTACTTTACCAGGTGATTTTTTTGGCCAAACTCAATATGTTTGTCATGAACATCAACAGATTAAAACCTTGCTTTCTATTATGCAAAACGATACTAAAAGATGTTCATTATGTTGAAACATGTATTGCCAGAAAGAAAACCCATTAACATAAACTCTTTTACCAAGAAATTTACTATTAAGAAAAATATATTATGACTGTATTGAAAGAAATGTTTTGTCATATGATTGTAAATATTTTGTGAACTTTAAATTCCAAGTATCTATAGGCCTTATATATTTATGACTGAACATCATATGAACTTTACATTTCCAATACATTTCTTTTCCATATACATGTATATATTTATAGGCGAATACCATGTGAACTCCAAGATTCCATGTACGTATATTCTCACTATATTATTTAGTGGTACGCTAAGTTGTGCGAGTTATCCTCCCTAATTTTGCGCTGGTGCATTACGTTACAGGCTGGTCACATGATCTTGAGTTGAGGTGACATACGGATCTTCAGACTAAACACCGAATATTACAATGGCTTGTCCGATCTGTGGGCCGAAATTGTCGGCGTATTGCATGGTTCTAAGTATATGGGCTATCATAATGCTGGTAAGTATCAGAAATATGTTGTTATTTCTTGTATGTACCATCAATATGGTGTCTATAAATATCAACCCCAGACTTCAGCTTTTCCGAAGAATTCGGGAATACGAAACGGGCTGTGAATTTATTTAAAAGATCAATGTTTTCCGATTAATATTTTCCTAAATTGATATATATTTGTGTATATGAGAATACGTATCTGGTAATATTTATTCATGGTGACCCGTAAGGACAAACGTTGTGTGTTTATTTTAGCACACATGATCGTCAACACATGTGACATCAGAGATATGTAGACAGGATGTAGGTCAGGGTGAACCCGTAAGAACCTAACCTTGGCATGAGGACGTATCTGTCCTGCATATATTCACTGAATATCCAGGAGTTCGAATAAACAGTGATATAAGCAAATCTGTGGGACCATCAGATGAGAAACTAGTTAAATACAAATGAGAGCAGGGTGTCAGATCGGTTTCCATTTTAGGACTGACTGATTATGCTTTATCATTGGTATAACAATATGTAACTCTTCAACATGAAATATACTATCTCTCTTTTAATTATAGTTATATTATCAGTCATGGTTTGTGATTGCAAAGGAATGGTTACCAATAGTGCTGGTTATCACTCACAATATGCAGGTCATATAATGGGTCATGGATCTATAAGTATAATCGATTGTAATCGTAAACCCCATCTCAAAACATGTGGGGAATGATGGGACACAATTATCATGATCATAACATAGTGTAAGTGAAACAGATATTGATAAATACTATGATCAAGACGATCAAGGTTACTTCCTGGTGTACATCTGTGTGTCAGGGCTCCAGATAAGGGCCATATAGGCATATGTACGGATAAAAAATATGCACAATACGGTAGCAAATAATTTAGAAAATATAGCAGGTACGCACCACAGCAATAGTGTACGATCTTAGAATCATTTACAGACGTATTTATCTGAAGAAAAATATTGGTTTATTGTTTATTGACCTGTTTACGCAAGACTATCAATGCTGTGGTGCATATATACTCATGCCAATAATGGTTGTCATCCCCTTCAATTTTTTTTATTGGAGGTGGTGTGTGGGGGTGACAACCATTATTGGCATGAGTATATGAAACGAAACAATAATGTACTCTTAAGGTTTTCCAGTACTCCTGTAGTGAAAAAATATGGAGTACGTACTCCTGATGTTGAAAAATTATCTGGAGCCCTGGTGTGTTGAATATTTGAATATTGACAATCTCCATGACAAACATAACAATAAGAAACATACTTTTTAAAGTTTAATGTGATGTTTCATTTTTATGAATATTGATTAGTCTCCTGAGCCCATAGATAATCACTGACACAATTGAGATCGGAGTGATAGACTGATTATTTGATCAATTGCGCCAGCACTAATTACCAGTTTCTCCCTTCATTCATTTTGTTTATCAGCTGTTTGATAGCAGTGGATAACATTATAACAGATAAATAAGCAATAACACATTACAGTTCTGTTGTGTCAGTGTCTGGAGGTAGACTTATCTTCTTTTTGTATTCTCTTGAATAATTAAATATTGTACCTGTGTTCTAGGGATGATATGTTCTTTTTTCGTAGGGTCTGCTCGGTCTGTTCTTTTACATCCGAAGCCCTGCACTGTTTGAAGACGTTCCTCTGGGAGACTGGGAGAAGAATAACTATACCTACGCCCATGTGCAGGAGAAGTATGAACAGAATGCCACGAACTGCTGGATTGCTGCAGGTCTCTACTTCCTCCTTCTTATCTTCTCCTTCACACAACAAAGAATGAACTCCAGAGCTAACTATGAGCTGTCATAGATTACAACATAATGTACTTTCTGGTATCCAAACAACTGTCCATAGAAGTTGAGATCTCCTGGCTGGATCAATTCTATGAAGCGAAGCCTGCAAACAAGAATCCTTGAAACACCAGCAGATATGAAAGATAGTTTTAGTTGTAGTAGGAATCAAGGAATCTGTTGTTGACATATCCACCCCCAAGATGTAGCCAAGAACAAGCTTATGTATTACTGTCCATCAAAAGAAAGGAATCGGGCTGACTTGTATGTAACCAATGATGAATATTTGTTTCAGCCTTTTTTGAAAGAAATACATCTTTTGTAATTGTATGCAGTAAAAGGACAGCTAAATTTTCTTGAAATTGTCATGAAATATAGCCTTATAAAAATTAGGTTGCACTGTTAATAGTTTTCACTCAAAGGTCAGGCATATTGTTTCGGTCAAAAGCTGACCTTATCCCTGGTGTTGGTGATTAGGAAATATATGAAAGAAGCATTCTTTCGTGACCATTATGATGATATGGCTGTGTAGAGAAGTTCTATTTAGATCTGCATAATTTATGTACCGGTAGTAATTTTGGGGAAAATATCTTTGATATTGGCCAAGGAAGTACCCATCAGTTTTCCAAATCTTTTGTCAATATAAGCTTGAATAGTGCATCTCTAGTCATCTTGTGGTCTTGGTACATTCCATGGCATGTTTACACTTGAGATGGGAGAAATTAATTGTGCTCAAGTGTTCAATTTGACAATAATGACTTCTTTTGTACATAGAGAGTGTATAATTATGGATGCCTATTAAATCAAATTGTCAGTACCTTTCAGTGATGTTAATGAAGTTCCAAATTATCAACAATTTTTAAGCTGAGTTTACGAGACCAAATATATTTTGCCAGGCATTGGCATCGAATAAGTGTCTGTATTGATCTTTCATTTCCGTCTTGTGGAATGCTTCATCTTTGATTCCTTTGCAATACCACCTTGTTATATCTTTTTAACTGTCATCTGTGTACCATTTAAGTTTTCATTTTCTGTATCAGTGTAAACCATATTCAGTAATCAATATTTCAATAAGTGGTATCAGTTTGCTCTTACTTATATCTGTAATGTTTTGTTGATTATGTCTGTATTGTATTCTTGACGAGACATTGGGAGTGTCATGATTCACCATGTTTACAGATATATCGATGCATCACAAACTGAAACCAGGCTATCTGATACGTAAGCTTTCCCTTTAGTAGAATTTGTTTTATATCTGTGTTAGATCTAAAAAGTGATGTGCAAAAGCCCTGTAATAACTGGGCCTGATAACCTCAAAATGTTTAATCCGCTTAATGCTGTTCGAAGTTTGCCAAAAGCCAAAACAATGTGTCATGCATATCACATACAAACAGGTTCAAAACAACATTGTTTTGTTAGCTGGCCACAAAAAAGATTCCAAAATATTACAAATAAGTATGGTGACATGCATCATCGTGACTGAGGTCACATGATATGTACTGATTACTTGTGTATGTGCATCATGACCCTCCTCATAGACACGTCACATATGTCCTGTGGATTATCTTTTCGGTAAAATCCAGTCACCAGTTGTAGATATGTTCATATCTCACATCAATACATTATTGTTTATGGAGAATGCAAATATGGCTGTGAAATATATGAAGTTGTACATTTTGAACATCACATCATGACTTTCATCATGGTGTGTAAGTGATAAAGTTGTGCAGAGTTGCGCTCCTTAGCTGCCGGGATCTGCTGTGGTTAGTTTGAATCCCTGGTTCATCCTGAGTGTGCTCTATCTGCATCTCTGCCATATTGATGGAGTTTCAGGATAATTACATAGGGTATTCCATTTTAAGTGACTTCTTATCTTATTGAATGGCTATTCAAAAAGTGTGTCAGTGTAGCACTTAAGAGAGGACTTTTGATTAAAGATGTTTGCCTACAAATTCTGTCAATAATCTTCATTAAGTGCATGATTACCTCACGGGTGAATTATTGTAATGAGGACCGGCATCCTTATGTATATGAATGTTCTTCAGTCTCATCTTTGCAGGATACACTGAATATTCAGTGATATCTTCAGGTTTAGATATTCAGTAAATTGTATTAAATTGGTACGCATGGTTATTTTAACTGGTGTGTCTGTACAAAATGTACAGTTTCATGTCATATTTAAGTTTTTGACTCACTTTGTATGGGTAATGAAGAAGTTCCCGTTGTTGTGCTGATTCGGCAATATAGGGAGACTTGATCGTGTTGTATCATAGGAATATATAGAACAAATGAAATAAAGTATGGGTTATTTGAAGAATGTGTTATTTCTGTACTCTGCGTGTACCCACTTTTGTGGTGAAGGAAAAACACAGGAAGTAATATTGTGGTCTGTACAGAAATTATTGTCTGTACTGACAGTCAGGTATTTGTGCTGGGATCAGACACCCTTGACATCAATTAAAGGAAGCCATTGGGCAGTTCCCAAAGGATGGAAGACATGAAGTGACGTGTGACCGGAATTATGTCACAGTGAATTCCCTCTCTGCATGTAACAGGGGCAACCTGTAAGGACATGTAGAGATTAAACAGTGATGCTGAAAGAATCGTGATCATGTAAGCTGTGTGGATTACACAGTGCTTGAGATGTGTGTGACTACCTTAACTGAAGCAGAATAATACCATAAGCTTGCTGACATTTTTGGTTGTTAAAAGATACAGCAGTTTGATTGGATAGTCACCATTTTGTAAGACCACATAAAAGCTGGTTGACTGTCATGTACTGTTGTCATGACGTGGTGTTTGCATGAGTGAGTTTAGTTTTACGCCGCACTCGGCAATATTCCAGCTATATGGCGGTGGTCTGTAAATAATCGAGTCTGGACCAGACAATCTAGTGATCAACAGCATGAACATCGATCTATGCAATTGGGAACCGATGACGTGTGTCAACCAAGTCAGCAAGCCTGACCACCCGATCCGCTTAGTCGCCTCTTACGACAAGCATGGGTTACTGAAGATCAATTTCTAACCTGGATCTTCACGGGTACATGGTGTTTGAAGTGACATGGCTTGAAAGTCAAACTACAGATGACCCTGTTCAATTTACACATTTTGAAAGTCAGATGGCAGTCATAATACAGATATATGTAAGAAAAACCCTTTCCTGTGATAAATTCATCTGATGTCACTAGCAGGGTGTACATGTTCTACAAAATAAAGACAAAATGTGTATTTAATATCCGAATAATTTAATGTTTCACACATCACTTGCATTCAAAACAATGGGTGACACTAAATGAGCAACCTTTCCACATGATTACTTTCCAGAACATCCATAAGATACACCTGGGTCTTCTTTCACAAGGGCAGTGGGTAGCCTTGTGGTTAAAGCGTTTGCTCATCATGCCAATGGCTTGGGTTCGATTCCCCACATGGGTACAAAGTGTGAAACCCATTTCTGATGTCCACTGATATTGCTGGAATATTGCTAAAAGTGGCGTAAAACCCAACTCACTCATTCTGACACCAATTTCACAAAGGGATCATAGAGAGACAACTTCTTGAAGTCTATGTTGGTTCAAGTTTTTGAGAATTGTAGAGCTACAATGTCTGTGTAACAGCCTAGACTACTGTTCACTGGTATACAAGCTGAAGGACCCTGACAACCACTTGTCATAGTCAGACTTTCATTTACACTCAGGCACTTATCATTGCAATACATATACTATTCACACTTTGCTAAGGATCAACCATTGATTCAACAGAAAACTATGATGTGGGATCTAATTTGGTTTAAATATCTAAGCTTATTGTAAGCATGGATACTAGGTTTCAGTATGTCACTGCATCTTGTGGATCCCATACCTGCTATTGACAGGTGTTGTGTACTTGTCAATGACTCGTTCCATGATTTGCAAAATGGTTGATTGGTGCCATAAAAACCATTTTGATGGTTACTCATGTCTCAAGTGCATAAGGTTAGATTAAAGTGACTGTTTGCCTAAAGAGGGGTTACCATATCATTATTTATCTAGTTTTAAATGGATACAATTTTAAATTATAAATCTATGTTTAAGTAAAGTTGGGAATTTTTGTGATCCTTTGCAAAGTGTGAGTAGTATATTTCCATATACATTCATAATGTGAAGTAGTATATATAAAAATAATCCAATATAATCTCCACACATACGATCAATTAATTTAAACCTTCAACACAGAAGACAAATTACACCGATATTTGCCACCACATTCTTCGAGTTTACAGAGGCAGAAAAACACCAAACAGGTTTCCCAAGATGAAGGAGGTGAAATATAGGAACTGAACCCTGAGGCTGGCATGAGGTGAATATCAAACCACTACATCAACATTTGTCTCTATATTCTCCTTGACATAATATTTCAACATATCTTTTCTGTGATCCTGAACGTAACTCCTCTTTTAGCTGTTGTTTTTGACAGTTATATTTCTGTCAATAAAATATAAAAAGGTCTTTGTCATGTCCAGTAATATATCCTGTATTGAATGAGAAATATTATGTATTTATATGTCTGTCATTTTCAATATTTTTTTGGGTCAATATATTCCCAAGCACTGGTTGCCTTGATAATGGCAAGTTCCATACAAAATGGGTCCATTTCCTCTGCTGGTTTCCATTGACTTGGTCCCTCTTCAATGCAGTTTGCAGACACTTTATGTCCATCTCTTGTGCTGGTTGCCATTAAATGCGTCCTTCTCTGATGTAGGTTGTCTGTCTCAGATGGAGGTTCCATTAAAATCTCTTAGATGCAGGTTTCCGTTAATTGCGCCCATCTCGTTCCTTCTCATGCTGGTCCAGCTCATACGCAGCTCGGTAGTAGACCACACCCTTGTCATCACGGTACTGAAGCCTGGGGTTGGGGTGAGTGTTGTTCATACTGCCCAGGGACGTGTACCTGTGGGTGGATAATACGACTTACTGGGAAGGCCAGGCTACGTATGTACTTATTGAACATATACGTCTGTCCTTCATTTGGAAAAATTATACAGAAATAATAATTTTAAAATATTTAAATCATGCTTACTGCTTCAAACAACACTTAGTCATGGAAACAACATAATGGCAGACAGGGTGGGGGGTGGTGTGTATGGAAGGGTTACGACACACAAGAAACTCACCCTCGGTCATAGAGGCTGCAGTATGGCAGACAGAAAGAGCGCAGGAATGTCCACACATCGCTGTATTGCCATTCTAACAGTGGGTTAATTCTCATGAACTGTGGCCAGTCAGGGTCCGTCATGGAGAAAGACTCGAGGTGATCTGAAATATGTCTGTATGTTGTAAAATAGCAGCTTAAAATCTTCAGTAACTTGTAACAATGCAAATATGTATCTTAGACATTAAACATCACACAGACAACGAAAGTGTGCAAGCACATGTTGGCAAACTTCAAAACATTTGTCAACTTGTTTTTTAACAAACACCCTCACATTTCCCAAATATAGACACAGTTTTGTAGCAGCTGCAACTAAAAATCATGTTTCATCTACACAGTTTCTGGTTGCCTATAAACAAACAACATGCTTGGCAACCATTTACACACACAAAAAAACATGCTTGGCAGCATTTACACACAAAAAACAGCGAAAATACTGAAAAGCTGGCCAAATATTGGTGAGAATAGAGATTATTTTCCTTACCAACAGTTTGCCAAACTTTACAAATTAGTGTGTTTAAATGTTATCAACTTCTCTTTGTAAACGTAAATCAGAAAACTTAAGCTGGTTGTTTGAAACCAAACCAGAGCTGACTTCGTGTCCAGAGCAAGATGTTACCATGGTTACTGACACAACTGTAGAATTTACATATTTTGACAAACATGTTGAATAAACGTATAAGATAAGTGCCACTATTTCATTAAAATCGTCAAACTGAAAAGACTTGTGTTGTTGCTCCTAACATCCACCATTTGTTTGATTATTTAAGTGGTCGTGTTAGAGATGGAAACAACTCACCCGAGTATGGATCTGTACGCCTTGTTCCCATAATGACGGCCTTGATCTTAGGATGTTGCTCTTGAAGTTCACTCATGCTATTTTTTATTCTACCTTCAAATCTTAGCATTTCTAAATTATACCTGAAAAAATATCAAATTTACAAAAATTCAAATACACTCAATTATGACAAACATTTAAAAATCTACAAAACATTCTTCAAGAGTAATTAACATATTAGAAAACTAATTTATTAATATACAGACTTGTATAGTAACACCTGCACAGCAACTAGCAAAACTTACCTGTCTGTAGACAACAGTATTGTAATGAGACACATTCACCTGTCTCAAAATATGTGAAAAGTAATGAACATACACTTACCTGTCTCTAGACACCTGTATTATGACACACATAATCACCTTTACAGTAATGTGGGAAAATACTCACCTATCTCTAGATACCTGTATAAATTCCTCAACTTCAGGGAATGGAAGCTTACTTCGGATGTAAAGGGCATTCAGATTGGCTTTGGAATCTGGGTACATTCTGACAAAGTGAAGAATAAAGTTTTGATAACAGTATTCAAACAATAGAATACTACCAAACATCCTTCAGTACTAGCAATCCCACAAATATACAGAACAGCATGGCTAACTGTATATAGCTGGCTTGTTGTTTAACGATAGTCATATTTGATACCTAGTGGCCTGTGCACAATCAAGTCTGTGTCAGACCAGCAAGTGGTCAATATGATGAGCCACCCCCCCAGTAAGTCAGATAAGATGACATTCAAAGAACATTATCCTACCTCATGTAAGAATGTCCATCTCTGATTGGTGCGTGTGACCTTGAACAAATTACCATGTATGACCGGTGCACGGCCGTACACCACCCAAGCGTGGTACAAATCTTTACGAGGGAGAATAAATCATTTGTACCCCACCTAATGGAAAAAGCATGCATCCACGCTAGTCAGTGAACCGTGAATCAGTGGTTCGGATCGACTAGTCAGTACCATGTTAGTAAAATATATGATTGAATTTCAGTTTGATTTAATGTTATATTTTCATAACAAGAATTGGGACGTACGTATGGACGCCGCTGAATACATAGTCCCCGTTCCGCGTTGCGGCCAGGGACAATGAGAGATCTAAATGTTCGGTAAGATAAATTCATAAACTCGCCTTCTGCTCGGTGGATAAATCCTTACACGGGATGCATAAAACCCGAAACATAATGCTACAACATATAGAGTCAAGACCACTCAATCATATTCAGTAGTCTCTTACAACTAGCAGTTCAGTACGGAGGACATATTCTGATCCTTGGCCCAGATCCATCAGTGTGGTATGTAAGTACATATATCACATATGATATTAAACTTCATATATACCAGAATAAAGGTTCTGAATGTTGGCTATAGTTACAGGATAGGTGAGTGGCTATATGTGTGAGACACTGAGTTGCCTCCCTTTTGTTTACATTAATCCAACATGGATGACCACTGGCCTTTGACAAAACACTATTGGAAAAAGGCATATCAATGTATTGATATATGTTGAATGTTGATAATCAATCTTGATACTAAATTAATATTTCTGAGCCACAGAAATGTTTATGATTACCATAGACAACAACGAGAAGGAAGAATATTCAATTTATACATTTGATGGATCAGCTGAATTCCTATTTATCATTAAGATGATTAATGGCAGATCTAGACTGGATTTTTATTTATTATATAACCATACAGAATAACTAGTTTTGTTAGTTATTACATACTTTTTGAGTTGACAGCGATATTAAGCCTTCCAATCAATGATGTCCTCCATGCTACCGTTAGGCACTCATACAGTCCTGTTACTCGTACAATCAACACCAGGAAATACAATTCAACATTTCAATATATAGCAGGGACTGGGATAGAGAACTTTGACAATGGGCCATTTTCAGGTTTATTAGCCATTTTCTGAATTTAGAATGGGCTACTGCATTTGTATCAATAATAAACTTCAAAATTTTACTGGACCATTTTGTATTCTAATGTGCAAAATGGCCCCTGGCCCCTGCCTTTCCCAATCCCTGATATAGTAATACTTTCACACACATTTCTGTAGTAAAGCTATAAGAATATTCCTAATTTCTTTAAAACTTAGATGGTGATGTTTGTTGTCTTGAGACTAATTAGAAATAGTACGACTTAAAGGTTATCAATGAGGGTGCTTACAGTCTTACATTCAAAGACCTAATTTTTAGTGTTGAATTTGAATGTTCCTATTTGTAGTAGGTGAGTATTACTTTACACTGATTTTAGCAACATTCCAGCAAGATCCCATTGGCTTCGCTCATCATGTCGGGAATAGAACCTGGGCCTTTGTCCTGACAAGCTGACACATTAACCATGAGGCTACATACCCCTTCTGCCTATCCCTGGTTTGAGAGTATGGTACTTACTTCTTGAAAACTGCATGGCAAAGGTGGAGCAGAGCAGTGCAGTCTTTGCCGCCATTGAAACCGACACAAATCTCCTCTAATCTGAACAGATGGAAAATGTCAGGCATTGGTGTAATGATAGAAATCTAGTTTGAATGAATATTCCAGATCATACTGTGACAAAATGAGTGAGTGAGTTTAGTTTTACGCCGCACTCAGCAATATTCCAGCTATATGGTGGCGGTTTGTAAATAATTGAGTCTGGACCAGACAATCCAGTGATCAACAGCATGAGCATCGATCTGCTCAATTGGGAACCGATGACAAATGTCAACCAAGTCAGCGAGCCTGACCACCCGATCCCGTTAGTTGCCTCTTACGACAAGCATGGGTTACTGAAGGTTCATTCTAACCCGGACCTTCACGGGTAAGATCATACAAAGAACATTGCTACCAGCATTCTCCATCTTTCTGGTGACAGTTCTGACAATTCATGGTGCCATAGAGCATCATTCCTTGTTTACCCTCTGAGGAAGTGGTTACATCTCATTAAATCCCTCAAATGTGACATCCGTTACAAATACGGTTCTAACTGTTAACAAAATCATTTCAAGCATGATCCCACTTCAGCTGAAGACATTTAAATACAGGTAGAAACTTACGAGTATTTCTTCAGTCCTTCTTCAATAACCTTGACAGCATGTCGTACATTGTTGGCGTACACAGTGTCTTCATCCGACTCCACCAGAGTGTACAACGTCTTCACTGCAGCAGATACTGGATCTTTCTCGTACATCACCACGCTGTCTGAAATAGGCCAGGTCTTTATAAATACAGCTCAACTTTTGACATAAATGAAAATATGTTAGTTGCTATTACAACATCAAATAATAATGTGATAAATATGCAAATGAGGTTTCCTTGCAACAAGTTTGTACAGCAATCTCTGTACATGAAAGGTTTCCCAATGTGTGAGTGCAGTATGAGGAAATGTTGTATTTACGCACCACTTGGGTGACAATGACATTAGAATCTATGTTGAAACGTTGCCTATACTGAATAAAGAAGTTGTATATCCATAAAAATTGTTCTCATTTTGCATCTCCTCAACTTCTAGAATGCCAATCAAAAAAGAAATGGAATATTACACATCATAGGAACTACGTACATGTTGCAGTTATGTCTACGTTTCCTCTTCTAACACTTGTATAAAGGTTCAAAATATGGTGTACTATGACAATGTGCCAAATTCTTATGTAAATATACTGAGAAAAACAAATAAAGGATCACAGGAAAATTCAAGCAGTTCCTTTAATATTTTCCAGTTTTCATCACCAGCTTTGAAGTTTCCTGTGATCCTTTATTTGTTTCTCTCAGTATATTGTTCTAACAAACAAAAACAATCAAAGGATGATAATAACTTACAGATATCATCTATATGATACATATTTATATATCAAAACAGGTGAAATTTATGAGTTTCATGAGTAAATATATCTAAAAGATAGCAACATATACATCATAATATTGAAACTGTAAGCAGCAGGATTGGATTACTGTGTTTACTCCTATTCAACCGACCTTCTCCTCAAACATATCACTAAATATGTACAGCAATGTTGACGCATGACTTTACAACTGGTGACCGATTTTTCCCAAAATTGTGTGTTCACTGGCATCCGTATGCATGATTTTGCGAAGGACCTTTCCTTGATTCAGGGAACATTTGTACATAAATTTAGGATGTAAGTAACCAGAACCATTCTGACTACCTACATGTTGTTATTTGTTTTATTGTCTTCATTGTAAATAAGAGAAGAAGTCAGAGATGCGGATAATTATCATTGTCTTACTGCATGATTTTGGGTCAGTCATGGCATCAAGCTGCACGGAAACTTTGACATTTTTGTGTGAATTTATCAAATAATTGTATTGTATCTATTTTGAATTTCCTATTTCTTGCTATGTTACTCTTTCCATGTATATTCTAATTGTAATGAGCCAATGCATGCAATAAAAATGATGAACAGATGTCTAAAAATTTTAGAAAATGCTACACAGTGTAAAATCTGAATTTTTCTTTGTTTACATTTCAAATAAGCGCAGTCTTATGAGCACAGTGTTAGTTTTCACACCCAATATGCTTTGTTTGATTTCATCTAGACACTTGGTTTTCCCGACCAAAAACATTCGGTATTTGATTTTAACTGTATGTGGAATTCAATGGTGTATATGTTGCAGCTGAGAGTGAAATATATGTGATGTAATATGATATTGTATCTGCATCTCAAGATGTGATTTGGTAAACACTATCAACTATGGTGGTAAACTCACTTTGGCATTCATGTTTGTGTATTTTCCAAAACATCCCAGCTGATTCAAGGTTTATCAGTGACCTATCAGAATTATAATTGGTGATTTGATGATATGAATAATCATTAAGATCCTAATTTGAAACTGAAACCTCTAAATAATTATCCAATTTTTACTTTTAAAAATAGACACCAAATAACGCAATTTTAAAATGTGTAAAAAATGGTGACATTTACAATGTAGCCAATTTTGCATGGTCATTTTCAGCCCTTTTGCTTCACCTAAGATTATAGTGCATGATATGAAGAAACAGGAAATGTCCCACAGAAATAAAACTGTGAAGGATCTTTGTGTGTGTATGTTGAAGACCATAAACAAATATGTCTCTCTTTTCCGGGGCTTAAAACTCAAAAATGACTTCCGGTATGTTATAATATCCTGGAGATTTCATACGTCAAGTTGGTGATACTGTAACATGTGAATATTGCTTGCTGTGTATTTATTTTGCATCTTAACACAAATCAGACAAGGAAGTTTTCATAATGATATAAAATAAAATGACCAATGTCATTTGTATAATTGATCTTCAAATTGGTAGCCAAGTGAGTGATCTGCAAGACTGACAATCCCAGTAATTTGAAATTTTTGTTGTTCAAGTACATGTATGCTGCGAGGACTTATTTACACCTGTTTCCTAAGGTGCAAGAAAAATAGGACATAAACAAAAACATCTGAGATATGGTGTTTGGGATTATATATTATTTAGTTATAGATAAACCATTTACTCGAGGTCTCTGTAAGATTAAAACCCTCATTCTCAGATGCCCCATAGATTTGGGTTTCAAATCTCATAAAGACCCTTGGAGATGCTTTATCCTACACATGAAATGAATATGAGAGGCCTTTCTAGGTTTCAGTAGTGCTTTACCAATCATTGGTGTAAAATTTAATTAGGAGATAAACATCATGTGTTGGCCAATTTCCGGGTGTTATTGAGTATTTGAAGCACGGGAATTCATTTTCAACCAATCAGATTAGAGAACACAATGACTTTTGGTTTACAATGTTGGTGGTCAAGAAAACATGAGTACTGCAATCTACTAATGAAAAACAAAATTGCTGGTCACACTACAGATTGTTTTGTTTGAAAAAGTGTTTGGACAATACTCTTATGAAAATATTTTAATAAAACCTTTAGAATTTGTCATTTCAACTATCATAAAATGGAGCTGTAAAAAAGAAATCTTCATTTTTCTTCTTGTAAACCAGCTACATAAAGAATGTCTAAATGAGCATATCTTACAGCATAAGGTATACATGTTAATTAAGTGTGTAATGAAATTCATGACTGAGTGAAAAATAAATTAAAAATCACACATGAAGGTCAAAGGGTTAGCCAATGAAATTCCATGCTAGTTTAAAGTCACACATTTATCATTACATTTTTTTATGCTACTTACTGTGAAAAAATATATGGTATCACATGGTAATTCTATACAGGGAAATTTATCAAAGTATATTTTGTATGTTATCACAAATAAAGTACTTCTGTTTGGGGCTTTCCATTATTACATTATCTAACATGTTCGGTATTAGAACACAGAAAGAGCTCTCCTTGAGGAGCTAAATAAAACTAGGGTATAACTATTCTATGGTAATGGAATGTAGGGAACAAGAAAGATATACAGAAACAACACCCTTGACCATGTAATAACATAAAGCCATGGTATACGGAACTCTGTAACAGAAACCTTCAGGGAATACAGTACAGTGTATATACAGGAATCTGTAACAGAATCCTTATTTAAAGCAAAAGATGGTATACAGATTTCTGTAACAGACAGTTTAAGGAAAATACAGTATACAGTATTCTGTAACATCTGCCTTAGAGGATAAATACAAAATGCATGGTTCTATTATAATGTACTTGAAAGTAGAAATATGGTATATCAAGCTTATAGCATATGATAACAGTAGTGTTAAAATAGCAGGGACAGAAACTTTAAACAATCCTAACTTGCCACTGAACTGAGGAAAAAAGAGACTTGGGGAATAAAAGTGCACATGCTAAATACTAGTACCTGATCTGATTTGACTCTCAGACATGTTAAACCCTGCTACAGATCATCATTTATACCAGACTGTGACATGAATGTTAAATGCAAGTAACCTCCGACATGTCATGCACCACTGACAACTTCAATGTCACCACATACCCATTACTTCCTTCACAGAAGCTGACATCTACAGTGAAGTAAGTTCACAAACTTCACACTTTAAGTCTCAGCCTCAACCAAGTCACGTCATGTCATGCCATCTCATGTCATGTATTATGGCACTTGTTGCTTCAGACATGGAAGGGTATCAACTGTCTTTCTCTCATGTTGTGTGTTACTGAGTGACAGGTATTAACCCCTCCCCTGCCTTGACTTATACTGACATCAACCAATCAGAGCTGTTAGCTGGGACAAGGTCAGCTACCTCATTTGTAGGCCATCCCCGGTGTAGCAGGCCATTTCTTCACAGGTCTAAACTTTCCCGGGGAGAATCTGGCCTAGGCCAAACTTTCCCTGGGGAGGTTTTGTCCTAGGATATTCTTACTGGGGAAAGTTTGGGCTAGGCTAAAGTCCCCCTGTTTAAACTAAGATATTTTGTTCTGTTTTCTATTAAAAGTGGGGAGATGCTGGCCTAGCTAGGCTCCTCCTTACCACCCTTGCTCTTATATCAAAAGGGGGTGATTCTGGCCTAGCCAGGCTACTTCTTCCCCACCCTTGATCTTATAAACCGACAGTAGGTTTTGACTTGGGTGTAGTGATTTGAATGCATACATGTTTGAACGGCATACATCTCTAAATCTATCCTGCTCCTGCCGCCATTCCTATGAAGACACATTGCATTAGTTCTTCATCTGTCCACCATAAGATGTAAACATTCAATCAGCACATTTGATGGGTAAATAAGATGTAATATACACAGGTTGCTTGCTCTCTTATCATGCTGTTTATTATCTAATATTTGTTGTATTTATGTATAAATGTAATGAAACATTATTCACATAAGCTTGTCTACTAATCCATAATCACTTTGGGTGAATGAAATATGATTCAGATGTCCATGGGCCAAGTATACCCCTTATCAAACCTTGTCTTTTGAATATAGAATAAGGCAATATAGTGGAATGATAGATGATACAGCATTTGATACAGATATTGTGTTGGGTTGTTGTTGTTGTGTTGATGTTTACGTCTGCTTCCAACTGTTAAGTTGATGTTGCCGACATGGATGCCATATTTAAAGCCATGAGTGAGGGAATAAACTTTGAATGGATATGGACATAAGTAAAAACTGGGTATTTAGTTAAAGTTTCGAATATAGTAATGATTTTGACATAAGCCAGTTTTGAGGAAGTTGGCATTAGTAAATTATTGAAATATAAAAATAAGTAAATGATGATATAAAACAATAGTACTGATATAATATCTTTGCTTTTATGC